GTCATAAGCCACTTGAAGGCACATAACAACAAAACAATTGAGCCCATTTAAAGTTCCTTAATGAGGAATAACTTCCATCATTTAATGGCCTTCTTCACCAAGTATTTTCTACCCAAGTTTGGTTCAATCAATAGATGTTGAACCTGTAGACCCATTGATTTTACTCAGGCCATATCTGAATTTGTGAAGAGTTTATAATTTTTTAAACATTGTTTAAAATTTTAAACATGAAACATATAATTAAAAAAAAATTAAACATATAATTTTTCAAACTGTCTTAGACTGGGTTGGAGATAACTTTGCTGGCTGAGCTAAAGCAGCTAGTAAATCTTGTAATTCTTCTCACAAGCCCTCTTCCCTCTTGTGTCCTAGTCCCCAGCACAGTCTGTCTTACATGGATTGGTCCTGACTTATCCATTCTAAATGAGAATTTGACATGTAGAGCTTTTTGTAAAGAAACAGCTCTTTCTTGTCTCACTTTTAGCATTCTCATGTACCTGTGATTGCAGTGTCCCTACCTGAACCATATTGTTAAGTGCCATTGGGCTGGTTTCACGATATTGACCCTATGAACAATAGAAGGAAACCCTGCCTAATTCTGTGCCATCTTCATAATTTCTGCTTAAAGCTTGAAAATACAAACATCATACCCCTTGTGCAACTTCCAAATGAAAATTTTTAGCATCACCACATCAAGGCTTTAGGACTTTCCCTTTGGACTCTGCTTGTGTTGAAAGACAATTCTACTCCTTCAGCCATAGCAAGTGATTTGAAAAGAGAAAGCTAAGTGGCAGTGGAGCTTCCAGAAGCCCTCACCACATCCAGTATGTTGGCAGACTCCAGTATGAAGTATGATTTTGTCTGAAACAGATCTTTGTTTAGAGAAGCTGGGAGAGTGATTGCTCCAGGCTAAGCAGCAGTAATGATACCTTTGCTTTATTGCAGGCAAATGAAGGTTGCCATGGCAAGCAGGCTAGGGCTGGTGGGGGAGGGAGACAGAAGGAAGCACTAAGGAAAGGATCCTGGGATTACTGATGCTGAAGCTGACCTTTGGGTTTTTCAAGTGTCATCCCACATGCTGTGAGAAACAGCTTTTTCCCCATAAGAGCTCTTCAATCCAATTACAAGACAATTTTCACAGACAATGTTTGTCCACATTTACAGTGATATTTTACCATTTGATTCAGATGGCTCCTGCTCAGCACAATCATTGTGCTGACACCTGGGGCTGTCATTACAGTCCAGAGGGATCGATAATTCAGACTGGCTCAATGTCCACTCATCTGCCACCAAACCTGGTGCCCTTCAGGGTCCCACAGATTATAGAAAATCAGCCTGTCTGCTGAGAAGAGCGAGATTTCTGCCATAAATTTAGCCATAATTGCTTGTTTTTGTCCTGCAAAAACTGACTGTTTTCCTGAAAGGGAAAGTTTGGACATCCCGAAAGGGGGGAAAATGTCAGGATTGTTCCTATCCAAATGCAAAGACTTCTGTTGCTCCCTAAAAATTAGAATTACCTTTGTTGTTGTTGTTGTTTACCATAGAGTTGGTCATAGGTGATCCTTGGTGGGTTTTCAGAGGCAGTTAATCGCATGGGAGGAGATTGTACATCCTTCTCCCATGAAGCAGCTGTTGGCAAGAAGCCACAGTAATTTAGCACTTTACCTCCTGGTAGTGTGCACACTTCTAGACATTTTAATGGAAGTAGATGGTGAAAGATAAGCTGGTGTACACTTTCCAGCCCAGCTTTCACTCTTACTCACTTGACTTGTAGTTTAACTGTGTCCTCATCTGGGAAAAAGATGGCTGATTATGCAATCTTCATATTTATTTTGAGACTCAAATGTGAAGAATGCATAAGAAATTACCTAAAATAGCTTAAAGTACGAGTTCAGTAAAATGTACCTATTCTCAATCAGATTGGTTTGACACAGTGTCTGCAGCAACTGGCTTGAGTGTGTCACAGATTGTTAAGATGGCACAGGATAGGACAGTGTTCAGATTCAGTTATTCATAGAGTCTCTGTGAGTCTTGCTTGACTCAGCGGCACCTAACAACAACAATAGTAACATTATTATAGAAGAAATAACCTGAGATTGTGGAGTGTTTATAAAAGTCTTTGAGAAGTACCTATAGAGGATTGGTTGGCCATCTGGAAAGATATAAATAGGATATTGTTTTAGATGTAAGGTCCAATAACCAGAAATATTATTTATTTTTGCTTAATTTTTTTTTGTGGAGGGTTTAAAGATTATTGAAGTTTACCTTAAGGGATTTTTCAAATATAATAAGAATGAAAAATTTAATATAAGCATCTTACATTTATATAAATTTTGATTCATCATAGGTCATAGAAAATTATGCAGTTGTAATATGCTAAAGAATAATCAAGAAATAGGAGATACTTGCAATAAAAGAAAATGTGCTTGGATTGAAGCGTCTCAATTTGTTTACATATATTTGTATAAAAATAACACTTAAACAAAGGGTATCCCCAAAATATCCCTGTATTTTTTTCATTAGTTGCAATGAACACTCTGTTTCCTAAGTTAAAAAGGGACAATAATTACTTTAAGTGGAAAAGGTAAACTAAAACTAATACTGAAGTAGGTAAATTAGCTGTGAAGGAAAAAAATGGAAAGAGTATTGTAGGGGACAAAGCATGATAAATACTCTCCCCTCTAGAAGAAAAATATGACATTTTTAAGAAGGGAAAAGAACAAAATAAAAACAAGATAAATAACAAAATATGTAGAAATTATAGAAGAAATAGACAACCTGTAGAAAATTGGATTCCAGGGGGAAAGATAAATGGGATGGAACTATAAAAATAACCAAGATATAATAGAAGAAAAGTTTCCTAAGATGAAGAAAGAGTTATAAACGAGTAGTTTCCCAAACAGTAGAGTTTAAAGTTAATGGGACACATGGAAACAAACCAATAATGATAAAATGCATAGAGTTACTGCATAAGGAAAAGTAAGCAACTCACAAGTCTCCCTGCATAATGTCTTAGCTGACCCTAATGACCTGAATGAATCAAATAGGATTCAAAACAAAATATTTCTTCTCATTGCACCATGTTCCTCTTTCCCCTATGCTGCTGGTTCCTTTCTCTGGCAATACCCAGGCTTTGTTTTAATCAGAGAAAGATAAACAGTGTCCTTTGGGAAGTAAAAGACTATTGTAATATAGAATTGCCTAGTGGCCTAGTCCCTAGGGTGTTGCATTTCTAATTCACCAGCCCTTCCATAGGACAAAGAAGGACAATTTACTTCCATTATAATTTATAGCCCCAGAAACCTGATGGTTGATATGAGTCAAAATTGATGGTAGTGAGAAAGATTGTAATATTTGGAAAGTTTTCCTGACCATCACCAAAATGAAATGTGGCTGAATGGCATTTACCGGTGTAGCAGCCTTCCTCTCTAAGCCTGGAGTGCATCTATGAGGCTGGGACTATGTAATTTTTTACAAGAAGGCTGCCTATATTGATGTGTTGGTCACAGTGAAGTCACCATCAGTCATCACAGATTAGATCTATGTATCAAGTTGTAGCCAACCTCAACATTATAATGATGTAAAATGTATGTTTGATTATAGACCCCTGGATTCATCCAAGACCTCTAGTAGTAGAGGCTAGGAAACTGCACAGTGTAAGAGTTCCTTCTGTGACTCTGTGAATACTGTGTGTGGTCAACAGAATAACATCCCATCTTCTCCTCAACAATATCAAGAAAACAAAATTTCTCACCACTGGACCAATAGTCAACATCATGATAGAGAAAAAAAATTGAAGTTGTCAATAATTTCACATTACTTGGAAACACAATCAATATCCATTGTACCTGATGAAAATGTGTCGCCAAGGAACTCTTAAGCATGCCAGTTATTGTTGTTAGGTGCTGTCACGTATAACCCATAGTGACCTTATGACGAACTGATCTGAACCCTGTCCTCTCCTGTGTCATCCTCATTATCTCTGATATTTGAGTAATTGCCGCAGTAACTCTATCAATCTACCTGTTCGAGGGTCTCCCTCTCCTTTGCCATCCCTCCACCTTTCTAAGGATGATGTCACTTTCCAAGGAACAGCCTTTCCTAGCAACATGCTCAATGCAAGATGAATCTTTATCATCTTTGCCTCCAAAGAGCAGTCTGGGTGTACTTTCTTTAAGACATATCTGCTTGCCCTTTTAGTAATTTGTAAGCTGTTAAGTACTCTTTTCCAACACCACAGTTTAAAGGAATCATTATCTTTTTTTGTTATTCTTACACATTGTCCAGCTCTTAGCAGCATAGCAAAGTATTGAAAAACCTGTGGGCTGAATCAGATGCACCTTAGTACTAAAACTGACATCATTGCTCCAAATAATTTGGAGAGGTCCCTGACAGCAGACTTTCCCAGTGTAATACATCTCTTGATTGCTTGACTGCTGGTAACAAGGGTGTTCATTGTGAATCCATGTAAGATGAAATTGTTAATAATTTCAGTCTTTTTTCCATCTATCATGATGCTTGTTGCCTATCAGCCCAGTGCTTAGAATTTTTTATTTTCTTGAAATTAAGATGCACTTTCTCTCAAAGGCTGTATTCTTTAATATTCTTTGAGCTTCCTTAGCTGTAAAAGGGTGTATGGAAACAACCCCTCACTCACTCTATTGCAAAAATGAAGTGATTGTTCATCCACAGGGCCTTGAGGAAGACAATGAAAACATGGTGCTATTTGTATTATGACACAGCTGCTGTGTGGTAGTCACCCCATTATCTGACATAAATAAGGCGTGAAGTGAGTGGCAGCTCTGGAACACAAATCCAGATCTCCCTGACACCCACATCACCACCTTCACTGTAGCCTGGTTTTATGGCACAGTTCTTACTCATTCTCCAGAAGAAATGAAAGCAATAATACAGAGGTCTCTCTCCCCATTTTCAGCAGTGGTCCCTTTCTGGAGCTTCCAGGAGTCTGCCTGCTCCCAACTCTACTTCCCCATCCTCACCTGGATCACACCACCTCCATCCCCCGCACTGCCAGCCAAGAATGCCTCAGGTAGCTGCAGCATCTTCCCCAGCCAGTCCATCATCACGGTCTCCAGTTCTGTGCATGCTGGGCTTGCAGCCTGAGGGGAGGGAGCGAAGACATGAACCCCACTGCTGCCTGATCATCCTGACAGCTGTTGATAACAGTACCCCATTGGTGGTAACTGGGCTGAGTGCTGTCTGCAGAGGATATGCTTTCCCTCTCCTCATTTAGGGAACCAGGAACAATCTTCCAGACAGTAGATAAGTCACTAGAGCATAAGGAGTCAGGCTGTGACAAGCTTTGCACAATCGTGCTGGCCTCTCTTTGCTGTAAAGACCCCACTGTCCTCACCTCTCTTCTCTGCAAACTTGGGTCATGTGAAGGGAGAAGTGGATGTCTGTGAATATATTTCCCTTTCCTATTCATTATTCACCATAGACTTAAAATCCCACTGAAGTCACCAATCTCAGATACTACTCAAATGAAATAAGACTCAAGGCTGTTACAAGTTTGTGAGTAGTCACAAGGTACAGTTGTTGGTCACTCCCTGTCTGGAACAAAGAGAGAAGAAAAACACAGCTACAGTGAAACAATAGGCCCACAGAACTAACAGGCCACATGAATCTCAACTTCCATGTCCCTATGACCAGAGCTAAGGATGGCTGGCTACCACCACCAGTCACTCTAAATGGAGTCACGGTAGAAGGTCCATATAGAATGGGGGAAAATGTGGAGTGAAACTAAAAGCCAAAAAGCATGGTCAGACTTGCTGATCAAAAGAGGATGGTGGAGCCCAAAGACAATGGACACCCTTGAAGCTGAGAACAAACCTCTTAGCAACATAGATAGGCTTTCAAGATGACCAGTAACACCAAGAAGGCACTTACTTTCTAGAACAATCAGCTCACACTTGGAAAGCAGCATCTTTGCTCTCTGGTTGACCCTGACTGACAGTGACCTCAGGTGCAGAGAGCTGCTCCACAAAGTTTCTGTGGTGTGCTCTTCACAGGAACAGGTAACTAGGCCTTTCTTTTGTCACTCCATTAGGTGAGTTCGAACCACCAACTTTTAAATTACATGTATAAGGCAAAAAGCTTGTGTCAGCCAGGAGCCAAAAAGCTTGTGTCAGCCAGGAGCCAAGTGCTTCTGAAAACTACCACTGATTACTGTGAACAGTGAGTTTTAGTTAATGGTATGGGTCCACATAGCTCATCAACGGTAACAAATGCTCTCCAGAAATACAAAAGGCCAGTTATAGGAGATCAGTATGTATGGGTAATTGGGATACATGGGAGAGCTCTGGACTTTTGTACAATATTATGTAAATCTGAAATTGGGTTTTAAAGTGTCTTACTATTAAAATAGGGAATCTGTAGTATTGGATTTTGGTTGCTAAGACCTTTTGGAAAGATCTTTCTCTCTCTGTTATATTCCTCTATTCCAGGTTTCTATTCTTTTTAAAGGTACTTTCTTAGGAGCTGAATCCATATTTTCTCTCTGCACCAGAGGGCCCTCCTGCCCACAGGGCTTACTTCTAGCCACTCATAGCCTAAGTAGTGAGAGGTTGGAAGAAAAACGTGTCTTATTCTCTAAGCACGCCCCTCACCACCACTGCTGCATCCAACTCACCCTGTCCTTGCCACCTCAGAACTCACCCAAGAGAAGCCGATGCAGCCAATGGCCCCACACAGCATGTCCGCAAGCATGGCCGGGTATGAGCTGGCCGTGGGGAAATAGGCAAAGAAATGGGGGCTGTGCCAGTGAGTCACCTGTCAAGAAGATGCATAGGTTACTCAGCCTTGCCAGAGGGTAGCCCTGACATTCCATGCCTCTGCTGCATGACTTGTCACCATACCTCCTACATTTCACTGAAATGAAAGAAATTTATTTCACACATCCATTATTCACATCTGTTCACTTATTCCTTTGAGTAAGTTGACTGACTCGTTATGGTTTATTCTGAGGGTTTTTTTGGGGCTCAGTTCAGGCCAACTAGCCTTTCAGGCATATCAGAAATGATACTTGAGGCCAGTAGACCTTTTATAGGTCTTTAACTTGTTTTAAGATCAGAAGGGGAAAAAGGAACTTCTAGGTTGAAGAAAAAAGTGTACATAATGTTAATATAACCATCTATCTGCCCACACTTTTTAAAATTTTATTTTATTATTTTGTGTGTGTACTGTCAAATAAGATCTGACTGGTACGGAAGAAGATTGCCCCTCCTTCTCCAGCAGAGCATCTGGTGGATTTGAACCGCCCACACTTCTGTGAAACATAACCTCTTTATGTCTATGCTGTCAGAGACCAGGAAAGCCAGCACACAACCACAAATAAGCCTTTCTCAATACTTAATTTCCCATGGTCTCTCTGTCTAGTTCCCTTCCTCTGCCTCCATAATCTGGAGAGGAATAAGTAGTTCTTGATGGAGGACACGTGAGTTTTCCCTTCCCAGTCTAATTGATGCTGTAATGACACCTTAGGTAGACATTCCTTCTCTCTTCCTGCAGATAAGGCACTAACTGGTTTACTGGAAATCACATGACTGGCAAGTGACAGAGTAGGCATGCCACAGGTCCTTTACTCAGTAGCCTGTACCCTGTTATCTAACTCAGTGAGTACAGAGGGGTGATTATTAAGCCAAAGCAGCAAAGTAGGCAAAGGGAAGGATACATTTTTCTCCCTTCTCCTCTGGATCGCTTTGTGTCTCCCAAACATTCCACTAGATGTTGGGCAGCTTAAAGGCTCTTCCCTCACCTCAATCTCCTCACAGTCCTTGAATTAGGCTCTCAATATTTGTTACACAGAATGCTATTTGGTGGTTTTTCATAAATATCTACCTTTTCAACTTTTTTTTCCTCTTTTTTTAAATTTAGGTTGTTTATTTTTCATTTCAATGAACATCTACAGAGATTTTGGGATTCCATTCATTAACTGTTGCACCCTTCTCCCCGCACAAAC